ATGAGAGCAAGAAACATGGATCAGCCGCCTCCTGCATGCCCCCTACTGGGGATCGAGCCTGCAACCTGGGCATGTGCCCTGACTGGGAATCATACCGACGACCTTTTAGTGCATTGGAAAATGCTCAAACAATCGAGCCACAACTGGCCAGGGCTCATAGCAATATTTTTGCCCATATATCTCCTTGGGCAAGGAAAACAAAGGAAAAAATAAACAAATGAGACTAAATCAAACTAAATAACTTTTGCACAGCAAAAGAAACCATCAACAAAATGAGAAGACAACCCACTGAATGGGAGAACATATTTGCCAATGATGCATCTGATAAAAAGTTAATATCCAAAATATATAAAGAATTTATACAACTCAACAACAGGAAGACAAACAACTCAATTAAAAAATGGGCAAAGGACCAGAATAGACACTTCTCCAAAGAGGACATACAGAGGGCCAATAGCCATAAGAAAAGAAGCACAATGTCACTAATCATCAGAGAGATGCAAATTAAAACCATAATGAGATATCACCTCACACCTGCCAGAATGGCCCCCATCAATAAATCAACAAACAACAAGTGTTAGCAAGGATGTGGAATAAAAGAACACTTTTGTGCTGTTAGTGAGACTGCAAATTGGTGCAGCCACTATAGAAAACAGTGTGGAGATTCCTCAAAAAATTAAAAATTGGACTACCTTATGATCCAGCAATTCCACTTCTGGGTATTTATCCAAATAAATTAAAAAAACAAACAAACCTAATTTGAAAAGATATATGCACCCTTATGTTCACTGCAGCATTATTTACAACAGTCAAGATACAGAAACAACCTAAGTGTTCATTAATAGAAGACTGGATAAAGAAAAAGCGGTACATATATACAAGGGAATATTACTCAGCCATTTAGTGAATGAAATCTTACCATTTGAGACAACATGGATGGACCTAGAAGGTATTATGCTAAGTGAAGTACGTCAGACAGAGAAAGACAAATACCATATGATTTCACTTATTTGTGGAATCTGAAAAACAAAATGAACAAAACAGAAAGAGACTTATAGATAGGGAGAGTAAAATGATGGCTGCCAGATGGGAGAGGGGTTTGGGGGCTGGGTGAAAAGGTAAAGGGATTAAGAAGTACAATTGGCAGTTGCAAAACAGTCACGAGGATATAAAGTATAGCATAAGGAATATAGTCAATAATATTGTAATAGCTATGTAGGGCTCCAGGTGGGTACTAGACTTATCAGGAGGAACACTTCATAAGTTATGTAAATGTCTAACCACTATGATGTACACCAGAAAATAATATAATGGTGAATGTCAAGTGTAATTGAAAAAAAAAAGTATGTAAAGACAAGTCACAGACCTGTAGAAAATATGTGCAAAGCATATATCTCATAAAGGACTTGTATTCAGAATATATTATAAAAAGTATCAAAATACAATTATAACAAAACAAACACAACTCAATAAAAATTGACAAAAGATCTGAACACTTAAAATAAGCACATGAAAAAAAAAAGCTCGTTGTTAGTCATTAGGGAAATGCAAATTCAAACCACAATGAGATACCACTACACACAAGGCTAAGTTTAGACTGGCTAAAATTAAGGACTGATGTGCTAGTGACAATGTAGAGGAACTAGAACTTTCACAAACTGCTGGCGGGAATGTAAGATGTTTTCACAGTTTCTTCATAAGTTAAACATAAACCTACCATATGACCAAGCCACTCCATTCCTAGATATTTATGCAAGATAAATAAAAGCATACGTCCATACAAAGACTCATACACAAATGTTCAGAGCAGCTTTATAAATACCCAAAACTAGAAGCAACTCAAATGTCTGTCAATAGGTGAATGGAGGGAGGGAGACAGATAGAAACATCAATGATGAGAGAGTCATTGATTGGCTGCTTCCTGCACGCCCCTAACTGGGGATCGGGCCGCAACCCGGGCATGTGCCCTGACTGGGAATTGAACCCTGATTGCCTGGATCCTAGGTCGACGCTCAACTGCTGAGCCATGCCTGGCTGGGCCAGATATAGTTTTAGTAGTTAGTGTCAAAGAGGCATGTGTAAGAAAATAATTGTGAAGATTTGCTAACTACGTTTGGATTTAAATGCAAAACTAAGTATCCCCCCAAAGTAGAATCATATTACTATAAAGGTCTTGCTACATCTTTTCTATTTGATTGTGATTTTGAAACAATAGAAAAGTGTTAAAGATAGTTCATAATACGACCTTTAAGCAGTTTCTACTCAGTCTTCTGATTCTAAAATTTTATGGTCCTACTAATACATCTCTCATACATCATTTCCAGGATACTTATACCGCAGTGTGCCAAACTAACTTCTGATATAAAATAACCTACTGTCTTCTGCAAAACATAAATAATCCATTTGAATCCACTTATTTTTAAAGTTCTATTCTGTATAATCTTCCTAGATTTTCTGTATACAATAATTATTATTAAAGTTTCCAAAAACTGAATTTACAGTTTTGAGTTCACTTTTTACACAACAAAAACAGTCACAAAATTATTTGGAAATTATGACTGCTGTCAGAAAAAAACCAAAAAAACTAAAACATTATGAAGTATAAATATTTGTGAAGGAGGGAATTGGATTTTATTTCTTGAGCAATTGATGAGTATTAAAAATGATACATGGGTTATTTAGCATGTCAATGAATCAATGGTTTGTAAGTATTTAGAAATAAAAGTATGATCATCAGAAGGCAGCGCCTCATTCAACAAGTATTTTCAGTACCTACTGTGTGTCAGGCACTAACTGGAAAATGTCATTTATCATAAACAAAATTCTGGTATACATAGAGGTCTGTTTTTGTCCTCTAACCAGTGGTTAGCAAACATTTTAGGTAAGAAGTCAGACAGTAAACATCATAACCAGTCAGTTCTGTCTTGTAGCACAAAAGCTACAATATGTAAATGAATGAGCATAGTTGTGGTCAATGGACACTGAAATTTGGACTTCATATAATTTTCATGTCACAAAGTATTCTTTTCTTTTTTCCCCAAGCACTTAAAAATGTAAAAACCACTCTTAAGGAACAGGTCATATTAAAATAAGTGGCCAGCCAGATTTGGCAACCCCATTGCTCTAAATTCTTACATTTTTTATACTTTCCCCATTTATATTTCTCAAATTCCCCCAAATGAATACATGTGATTAAAAGGTTACACATGATATAAGGGCATAGAGTGAAACGTCTCCCTTCTATCCCAGAGACACAGTTCCCCTCTTGTTTTTGTGTATCCTTCCAAATCTACTGCTGCCACTATTACACATTTCAGCATAAATAGCTTTATATATACACAACTGTCCACACATGTTATTTCATCTATAGGATAAATACCTGGAGATGGAACTGCTAGGTTATATTTCCTTAAAGAGTTTATTCTAACATGTAATTGGTTGGTATCTATAGCTTCTCCCTTGCTCAGGATAAGCCTTCCAAAATGCCTTTACCTATTTCTCACCTTTCTAACCAACTTCAAAATCAGGTTGAATGTTTGTTCCAAACTATAGACTCTCGGTCTTTTCCATTCATAAACTCAAATACTTCTACTCAGAGAAATTTCCTTGTTTTCTTCCTCCATTCCTTTGACAGTATTTTGGTTCCATTCTATTATAAAGTAGGAATGGGAAGTCTGGCATCTATTGTGAGTTGCAAGGGGAGGAGAATGGGGGGGAAGCTGTTAACACAGTCAGAACCCCTAATCGGTGCCACACCGTTCCACAAGCTCTCTGAAAAGGTATATCCTGGTCACCCTCACTGCACAGAGGAGAAACAGAGGCCAGAGAGGGAAGGGTTGATTTAGATTTGCCAATACTTGGTCTCCTAACTGATACATCTTTCTGTTTGGCTTTGGCTGCCCAAGACACTGCCTGGATATTCCTACCCCCATGATCTCTATTTTCTCTGTGGTTACTTCTCCTCTTCCAATTTCTCTTACCTCCGGGAACTCCTATGAGATATAAAACGGCTCTCCTAGATCTATTTTTGATGTCATGGCTATTTCTTCCTATTTTCTATATTTTAAAACTTAAGAACCGACTGCTTATTTTCAGGGCAGACTGTATGAGTCCAAAAGGATGCTATCCTTCTAAATCTGAGCATACCAATATTTATTGTAAAGTTTCTTCTCTTTCTTACATTAACTCCACCGTTTCAGGTCTAGTTCTTATATTTGCTCAGTCTGAGGCATCTCTTAGATGTCACCAGTTTCCCACAAATGCTTAGTGATTGTTGTCTGTTCCCATGGTAAATGTATCTTAGTACCCTAGAAATCACTGTACTCCTATAGCGAATTCACATTTGTAACTAGCCCTATAATTCAATTACATGTTTCTACCCATGCTTGTGTAGGACGACAATAACAATGTAATAAGTTCTTTGATGTGCAGTCACGATTCTTCAATCCATTTTCAGTCCTATCTCTTTGGTGTTTCATTTCCCCTAACAACCGTTGACTTGAGTAACACAGCTCTTACCTAAGAGTTATACAAGCTTCGGGACAGATCGCCGGCTCTAACAGACTTCTCTAACAGTTAAAGACGTAGTAACAGTCTAGGGGAAGATCATCACAGACATGCACTCCAAGGAGCAAATAATAATAATAATAATAATAATATGATAATGAGTCACTTAAGTTTCAAAATCATAATAGTTATGCCTTTTACCAATCTTGAAATATTATAGAAGTTAAAATAAGAAATTGTATTTTTTAAAAAAGAAAGTGTCCATGTTAAACGTAATTTTCTGCCTGTCTTATGAGTCAGCCTTTCCACAGCTGACAGAAACACGTACGGATGTTCGCCAAGACATTCACAAGAATGTCCACAGCAGTCTTCAAAACACAGAGTATACAAAAATTGGAAACACAAATATAACGTCCGTCAACAAAGGAGTAGTCATATAATCATACAAATGAATACTGCAGAGCTAAAAAAAAATAAAAATGAAGTGCTGTTACCCGAAACATCATGGGTGAGCCTCACAGTGAGGAGCCGAGCATGCTGTACAGTCCCATGGACAGGAAGCCCCAGGCAGACAAGACTAACAGACGCAGAAAGAAGCCCAAACGCTGATGACGGGCAAGGGCATCGCTGACTTGGAAGGAGCAGAGGGAAATTCTTGGGATGATAGAAATGTTGAGTTCATTTGTATTTTACACCTCAATAAAAAAAGATAAGAAAAAAGAAAGTAATTTCCAAACTGGCTGGAACTAGAACTGTGCTTCTGTATGTCAAGGCTCTGAGCCATCAATACTGCAGATCCAACATCCCCTTTTACACTGCTTGACTCACACGATAACTTGAAACAGTATCAAAACAATGACGCAAAAGGAACGTTAATATTCTCAGTCTTAAAATACTTGGGTCCCACTTCCATGCCCGAAAGCACTATTTTAATGCGACATGAAAGGCGACCCTAACTCCGCGGGCTGGGACCCGGCTCCTGGGCGCCTGCGAGGACGGCCGCCGTCGGCCCCGCACACAGAGCTCGCGGCGGGCCGAGGGGCGGAGGCTTCATTTATAACCGAATCTTCATTCTGCCAATAACGCCGCCGCAAATAAAAGCATCACTCTCGCGTTTACAAATCATTCCTCGGCCAGCCGCTCAAGAACAGGGGGGGGTTTCAAGACGAACTCTGACAGCCGGCGGCCCGCTCCCCGCAGCCGCCGCGGCCCCTCAGCTCCTACCCGAGCGCGCACCTCAGGCGCCGGCTGCTGGCGGACGCCGGGGCTGCGGTGACAACGCTCGGGTGAAGAGAAAGCGATAAAATTAAACCAGCAAGTCAACGCCGGCAGCAGCGTCCTCAAGGGAAACTCATCCTGCTCCGAAAACCCGCGGCTCTGCCTGACACCAGGGAAGACTGCGGCGGGCTCGTCCGTGAGGTGACCCACGGGGGTGACCCGACCCGGGCAGAGACTCAGCCCCCGCGCCG